GATTTAAATTTTTCCCACTTGTGACGCATGCAGCTATCGATATTTTTTGCATGCTAGTTAACATTCGTGTCAGTAAGCTGTTGGTTCTCACGCTGTCCAGTAGAATCTTCTTGCCTATTCGTGGAAGCCAGCTATAGGCTTTCACTCTGGTCATAGAAAATGGCCGCAAACTACATGAAAACTGCCGTAGAAGCATGGAAAAGTCGATTATTTCCACTATCAATGGGAGTTGGGAAATGCAAGGTCAGTCTTGGCTTGCCACTAACTTGGAGCATGTGCATGTAAATTTTGGTGCAAATCCGTCGAAAATTGCGGCCGTGCATTCGTTACACCCCCACATACACACATCCTGCTCTTGTAGATAGAGATAAAATTAATAATTTCAGACTGATAGAGATAATTCCAAACAGGATATTAATCCAGTGAAATCTCAATGTAAATCACAGAACATTATAATAATAATAATAGCTTAGAACGACTCATGATCAAACAGACATTCGTTATCTGTTATATTTAAGAATATATGATTAAATATATATATATATATATATATATATATATATATATATATATATATATATATATATATATATTTATATATATTAATGTGTGTGCGTGTGTGTGTGTGTCTGTGAGTATGTGTGTGTGTGTTATAAAAATGAAAGGTTGTTCAAAATTCCAGAGAATGGTATATTACATGTGAGTAATATATTTATTCTGTTTGTTTAATTAAAAAAATACACATCCCACTTCTTTTAATGAAATATATATATATATATATATATATATATATATATATATATATATATATATATATATATATATATTTTTGCTAGTACGACCGTCTTCGACCGGACTTTCATTAGTAAGAATTTAATGTTCACTTTATTGGTGCAATTGGGTGCAACTTAGGCACGTCCCCAAATGGGGTGGGTACAATTTGAATGGGGGGTGGCCCTGAAAAGGGCCGTTTTTGCGTTCTCAATCTTGTTTCAGCCTCACGCACACCAGCAGTTGAAAAGTCGTTTCTCCTCGGCCGTTGAGTACTTTGATCACTATTTTCAGCCTTGCGCGCAGAAGCGTTCAGGTATGCTTTCTGGAAAGCCGAGGGCCACGTTGATCTTTAGACTCAGTGGCTTTGATGGAAGCATTCTGAGAGGCATTTTGAGACAGGCAAACTGAACGTTCTAAAGACGAGTAACGAATCGTTTTTAGAACGTTCAGTTTGCCTGTCTCTTATTCGCATGGCGGACCAGGCGGAGCGCTTTTGCAACCTAAGCAAGTTTTTTTCTTTAGTGGCATGTCTTAGGCAAGTACGAATTGTTGTTCACGCAAATTTTGTAGGGCTCGCCGTCCATTGTCCTTGGCCTCTCTCATTATTAAAGACAAACTCCGGTCATCCAGGAATTGTATTAATTTAGCGAACACGGTCGCATTTCTTTCCATAAAATCATCATCCCCCTTCTGGTCGTCTTTGCAAAGAATGATGTCATGGAGTTTTTGTATTCTGAGGTAGCCTAAAAACTTCGTCTCCCATAATTCATATCTCGATTCATTCCCGTCAAAATATAGTTGGGATCTCGGCTCATAACCAATGTTGTTCATAATGACGGACGTCTTCGAGTATAGAATCCAGAAGTTAGCAGTGAATATTTCGAAGACAGTAGGGAAGCGTAGTTCAGGTTAGCAGTGGATATTTCGATAAAAGTAGCAGAGCATAGTTCGTCCTTCTGGTTCTCTTCGCCTGACAAGCTGGACTGGACATTCGGGTAGAGTGAACAAAAATGGCCGCCTTTATACACGACGGATTGAATGTTCTACGTTTTCTGATTGGTTAACTTTCTATTGGTGGACTATAAAGGGAGTTAAGTCATTTGAGCTAACTCACTAGTTATATATATACATATACACAAAAAACTGTAACACGAATTGTCAAATGGAATGCGTGGGCAAATACCAGAAGAGAACGCTATAACGCTACAGGAATCACTAAGCTCGAATAACTTTAGGAAAAGTTAGAAAAATAAATGTTGAGTATTAAAAAAGCAAGCTTAATTATTACGACGGTGAATGCAATGGAAAAACTGGCAGGACAATAATAAAATTTAAATTGGGAACGACTATAAACGACAATGAAAGCAACGCCTTAAAACTGTAGTATTAGGCTTGATGCAGCGGAAAAGGTAACCTCAATTGAAAGAGATTGATCGCTTGGCCAAGAGAAGGGGAATGTGTAATTTGGACTCAAAACCGACACTGAAGAAATATCTATCAAACAAACGCATAAACAACATCCGATCTCTCTCTTTCACACAGACACACACACACGTGCGCACGCGCACACATTTTGAGAATTATAAATATAAATATTATTGTAATAATTTAAAGTATTTATTTTTATTAAAGTTTTTATGAAAGATATGTATCAAAGAACAGATAGTAAATAGCAAGACGTTGCTGAGAGTTATAATGGACAGGAAGTAGTGGAGAGCCATTGTCGCCAACAATTTCGACTCAAAGCAGGCACTGAAGAATTATCTATCAAACAAAATAAAATTAATCGAAATTGGCTAGAAACTGGCGAAATGCATAAAAACATCCGATTCCACACACACACAGACACACACACAGACACACACACAGACACACACATACGTACAAACATACATTTTGAGAATTATATATATATATATATATATGGTATCAAATGACAACTGGAAAAAAATCTTACATTTTGCCGACGCGTTTCGTCTTCCGACTTTTTCAAGGCAAAAATGAAATCGAAATGTTTTTGTTGTTATAGTTACATTAAAATTCAAAATTAAAAAGATAGACGCTTGTGTCTAAGCCTTTTTTCTGGTAATAAATGGAATTTAACTGTATATATATATATATATATATATATATATATATATATATATATATATATATATATATATTTCAGCTCTGCAGTAAAACAGTGAGACCTAGTTGCCAGTCTGGTAGCTAAGCATAAATCTCTGTCTCGGTACTAATGTGAACAGCTCAATATAACAATTGTCACGAAAATATTTGTAGAAAAAAAGGAAGCCACGTAACGTCGGTGGGAAAATGAGTGAAGTCGAGATACCATGTCAGGATCGATTACATTACAGACACTTTTTTTGAATGTTGTCAAGATTATCAAGATATGTAGTAGGAGCACCAGACCAAATATAACAGCAATATTCCATGTACGAACGAGTGGTACATTTATAAGTGTGCGTCTCTCGTAATAAAACTAACTGGGACATTAATAGACAATAGAGATAAACAAAGAAGCAAGTGGTGGAAAGATGAATAAAGTCGGTTAGGTTACATATCTCGATACATCGGACTTCAAAAATGTAAATGTTAAAGGTTTGGTTTGGGTTCTTTTGTTTAGTTCTAAACACGAAATCTAAATATTTTGCACGCAATTTCACGACTTCTCCTACAGATAAGTCTCAACATGATTTTATACTTCCAGGTTAATCATAAAAGTATTTTTTTAATTTTTTTATTTGTATAGTTTGCAGATGATAAAATGTATCGTTGTTAATATTTTAAAGGCATTGGTGATAATTTTATTATAAAAATGTGTTTTTATATTATTATTATTATTATTATTATTATTATTATTATTATTATTATTATTATATTCATTTTATTAGCGTTGTATTTTTTGTTATTTTGGTATAAAAGTCTGTTGTTGGCTACTTTGATACAAAATGTATTACTAGTCATTTTGCTTCAAATGTATTTTGGTAATTTAATTATAAATATGCATTGTTGGCAAATTTCCTATAAAATGTATTGTTGGTCATTTTTCTATAAAAATTTATTGCTGTCATTCTATGATAAAATCTTTAGTTGGACATTTTGCGTTGAAAATGTATTTTTGGTAATTATACTTTGTATTGCTTGTGTTTTATTATTAAAATGTATTTTATAGTTTCTTATTTTTTTTATTTTTGTTTGGGGATTCAGTATTTGGCCATAGCTGGGTCCCTAAACGGGTGCTTATCTCCTCGAGTCAAGTTGATAACAGCAATTAAGAGCTAGTTCGACGCTCCTCAAAACCCCCAATCTCCTGATCAAGGGCCTTGCTGCCAGATGTAGTTTATCGTCATAAGCAGGAGTATAAATTTTAAAGTTAAGCATAAGTATATCTTTAGCATTTCTCAAAGTAAAATTGTAACCGGCGTTTGTTGCATTACGTTCCTTCCCTTATATATATATATATATATATATATATATATATATATCCAAAACTAAGGGAGAAAAATTTTAAAACCTAATATTTGTTAGAAATAACAACTGTGAAAAGCTGAAATTTTGACAACTGGTAGTCGTTATCATCCATAATAACATACTAAAATTTGAATCATTTGCAAAATAGAAAAAAGAATTATAACAATTATTTATTTATTTTCAAAATAGGATCGTCCAAAAGTAAGGGACAAAATTGAGAAAAACAATATAAACAGTATGCTATATTTAAATTTTTTGATTTCCTCTAAAGAATAAGTCTTACTTAGTCATTTGTAAACGTTGCACCATGGCGAAACGCCAAAAACTTGACTACTCTGTGAAACAAGCTATTGTGAGGCTACACAAGGAAAAGCACACCATTAGAGAGATTTCAGATAAAGTGAAACGTTCCAAGAGTATTGTAGGCAGGGTTGTTAAATCCTACAACGATCCTATTTGTCAACGATCCTAGTTGTCAAAATTTCAGCTTTTCACAGTTGTTATTTCTAACAAATATTAGGTTTTTAAATTTGTGTGTGTGTGTGTGTGTGTGTGTGTGTGTGTGTGTGTGTGTGTGTGTGTGTGTGTGTGTGTGATTCCATCGACAAATATACTCTTCCGAAGAAGTCCTTTCAATGGACGAAAAGTGTAACATAGGGTTTTATATTTATTGTCATTCAGTTACCTACTATTAGTCTATATATAACGTTGTATATCATATCTTCCCTAAATGTCTACATGTTCTTTAAGGCCATATCATGTTGAAAAACCGGGTCCCGTATGATCAGCGAAGTTAAGCAACGTCGAGCCTGGTCAGGACCGAGATGATTGACCGCTTGGGAATACCAGGCCATTCGATGTAAGCTTAGTTGTGTTAGTGGTGTAATAGATAATAGCTCGGAATTGGGTAAGAGAGAGCCGTGTTCCAATTCCAGTTGGGTTCATTATATTCACTTATACGCAAATACCCTTGAGAAATGTATGAATGCATCTTTCTTCCAAGCTACGGTTTAATTATTATGACTTGTATCAGTAAATTATGATTATCTCAAAAATATATTATAATCTAAAAATATTTTCCCTCTTTAAGTAACCTCCTAATGTTTGATAAGCCATAAACAGCAACGAACAGAGGAAAGCTAGCAGTGATAGCAAGACATTCCCGAATAAAATAGCTCAATGTATATATGATATAATGACTGAATGCTTTCTTCCGTGTACCCCCGTCTATTTGGTCAACAACTCTGGCAGACAACTGCTCATGCATATTTCTGTTTCATCAACATCCACGCAAGTATTATTATCTTTTAAAAAGAATTCTTAGAATCTAAAAGTATTTTCTGGCTTTAGGGTCGATAAGCCGTCGAAAACGAAATCAATCAATCACGTGTGTATGTGAGAGTACTTGTGTGGAAAATGAACTGAGTTTATTTGGCTTTTAACGAAGGTACGACAAATGAAATTCGCTTGACATTTTAGCCATGAGTATATTGGATTCTTACTCGAGTGTCTTATTTTCTATCTTTATCGTTTCCATCGGGATTCATTTATAAAAAAAGAAAGCTTGCGTGGCCACAAGTATAATTTATTGTAACATTGTATGCGCCTATGAAGAACTCAAGGACACTTTCTCAACAAGTATTCCAATATAACGATTATTTAAATCATTTTTTATGCAATATTTATTTCTGTAACAAAATCTACTGAAAACGTGAAAATATGTACACATTTTTTTCTGAAGTTTTTATTTGTTTTCCCTGCGGCACAAAGAAATTTTAAACCTTTCCAGAAATTTCGAAACAATTCTTTGACAAGAATAAGATATGACAACGACTCTTTGAATCGATGGAACACCATGACAAGTACGGAAGCACGCTTCCATCTATATTATGTTACTTTCATGGGTTACTTTTTTTGGTTTGATTGCATCTTTTTCTGCTATTTTCCTGGAGATTCTTTGTGATCTACAGATGTTTTAAAATACATGATTCACCATGATTGTTTCTCTCTAACTCTATCTTCCTTCCAACACGATGTTTCTATATCTAAATGAAATACCATTATGCCTTATGGGTAAATTTCTACATTCTCAGTTCCGTATAACAGGGTCAATCATTAATTCAGTTACTCATTAATTGGTGCTCGTTTAGTCAACTACTATCCTTATACATGTTGGTTTTTTCTTTTTTTTATTATAAATGATTCTATTATTTTAGTTTTTTGCATATGGCTGAGGCTATTATAATTGTACATTCTAGAAACATGTTGCGTATGGAGAATGCAATTATAATAGCCTCATCTAATTGTAAAAAGACTAAAATAATGGGATCATTTATAAAAAAAATGAAAAATAGCCAATAATCAAGAACATCAAATATGTATACGGTCACAATGTACTGACCGTGTTTGGATACAAAAAAAAGTTCTTATAACATTAAATACATACGTAAATATCTACGTATTCAGTTACAATTTTTAAAAGCATCGTTCATAATGGGTAAAAGAATAGCCAAAAGCGCTCGGACATACAAAAATTTCGGATATATTTTAGGCACGTTATGCCAGAAAAGAAAAAGAATTCAGTCTATTTGGGATGCTGTCCAAATTCCAAATTATATATATATATAAAATTTATAGCAACAGAATTTGCAGCAACAGAACTAGAGTAAAAATAAGGAAAGAAATAATTAAAAACTGAAGAAATAATTAAAAAAAGATAAACGCGCAGGATTTACAACAAAAGAAATAATAAAAGAAAAACATAGGATTTACAGCCGATATAATATCCGACAAAAAATGATAAATTTTTACATATCACATTCATCAAGGAGCTTACAAACCATATAGAAAATCAGACACCAATCCAATATATATTAACAGGCATTCTAAGCAGCTCCCTAACGTATTCAAATAAATACCCATAGCTATAAATAAAAGAATTTCAACAAATTGTTGTAGTTATAAAAAACCTCAGTATTCATTTTTATATTTACATACGATCTATCCTTGATATTGAGCACTTTTAATTATTTAATTATAGCATACTTCAAAACTATATTTATAATAATTACACACATATACATATATATATATATATATATATATATATATATATGAATTACATAAAAATAAAACTCAGTTCTACTCCATGTATATAGCCATTTCGCTCCTCGTGATAAATTCCATGGAGCTTGTCAATACTAAGAAGTTTAATAAAAATAAGTAAATGGAATACTATTGACTTTTATTTTTATGTAATTCATGTCTATCCCCTATAATAAATATACTGAACACCCATTCGTGGATTTTTACATATATATATATATATATATATATATATATATATATATATATATATATATATATTTTCATTTTTCTCATGGATGTTAACAATTTGAAGCAGCAATGTATTTTTTAATTATATTTTTAGACAAATACTGTTCATGAATATTGAAATAGAATTCCAATATATATATATATATATATATATATATATATATATATATATATATATATATATATATATATATCTGTGTGTGTGTGTGTGTGTGTGTGTGTGTGTGTGTGTGTGTGTGCATTTAGGCAACAATCTCTTTTAGGTATGTCTGTTTGAATAAATTACAGATTAAATCATGTCTGCTACTTTTTTAAAAAATGCATTCATACTCACAAATAACCTTTCGTGTATTGAGGATGAGAGAAATGTGTTATAGCTGTTTCTTTCTTTTATTTTAATTTCCCAACTACTTTCAATCTTTTCAAGATCATCTTCAGGGGTGCAAGTAATTCAAAACTATATTTTGTTCATTAACATAAGTATTTATACAAAGTTTTGCTTTGTTATACATTGTATTAGTTGCCCCCTCCACCGAAAAATGATCTTGGAAAATGATCGAAAGTTCTTGTGAAATTAAAATAAAATAGTTTATTCAATCATATATATATATATATATATATATATATATATATATATATATATATATATATATATATATATATATATATAGATAGATAGATAGATAGATAGATATAGATATAGATATAGATATAGATAAATATAGATATATATTTGTGTGTATGGCTGTAAAACAAAAGGAAATGATCATTTACCTTAATAAAATATTCTTTTTGTCTTTCTTCATACTGTAATTTTACAGATATTTAACATATATACATACATATGAATATATGTATTTGTTTTTGCGTGTGTGTGTGTGTGTGTGTAAATCAAAAATTATCCGTGTGTGTGTATGTGCACGTATGTATGTATGTTTATATGTATGTATATTAATCGGTTTCACCCCAAACAAGGCAGTAAAGTCAGTAAAACACAATGGGCTACTGGATGTGGAAGAATTAGAAACAGAAACATTACTCATAAGCGAGAGCAAAGAGAGTAATCATGACGACAGTAGAAAGCATTTGACTTTGCATTTCAATTTCTGTACATTAAAGTTAGCTGGAATGGAGCCGACAAGATGTGCGAGAGAAGACACAGGTAGCATAGAACTTACGGTTACATTTAAACAGCTCAACTGCAAATTGATGAGTATTTCGACTCCAGTCTAGTACTGCGCTTAAATTCAAAAAGTCTAAGTACCATAGCGAAGATCCTTGTGTCGATAAACGTAAATTACTAATAAATAAAGTGTTACTGAAAATGTTCCGTTTTGACAAAGAATGGATACACCCAGCGACACATAACGGATATATTGCTAATTCGTTGGGGGTTTTCGATAGAGCTGTATAGAGAAGTGTCCATCTGTATCATAACCTACGGAATACATATTTTTATCACATATTATATCGTAAATCTGTATGGAAACTAGCAAAACAAGAAAAAATCTCTCCATTATTTATATAGGAATATATATATATATATATATATATATATATATATATATATATATATATATATATATCAGTAAATGTTTACTACAGTGCCAGTATACTTGAGTAGACATATACGCAAGCGACTGCATCGTTTTCATTGTTTCCTTAAGAGATTTTGTTTACAAGTAGCCTGGAGGATTAAAAGAATCCCGAAACATGAAAGCCGCGCAGAGTCGTTGAATGCTTTCTTAAGGCAAGGATTTGCCACATGAGGGCGCTTCTGTAGAAATCAAAAGAAGAAAGGCAAGTAAATGATACTTAAAATGTCGATGGAGTATTTTCGGACGGAACAATATTTTTTGTTCCTTTTCAAGTAGCTAGAATGTTTTTTTCTTTCTTAAAAAAAATACAGAAAAATAATCATTTCGGGATATCTGATTCGCACTCACTCTCTCTCTTTCATATTCTCTCTCTCTCTCTCTAAATCTTTCTGTCTCTCATAGTCTCTCTATCAGTCAAAAATGGAAATATATATGAAGTCAACACGTAACGGCGACAGTCTGCTTCGTGGTTAAAATGAATTGTCAGTCCATAGCGATTGCGTTTAAGCATGAAATCGCTGAGTGCTGACTTCAATGTCGACTTTATGCTCCATCCCTGCTATTGAGCAATAAGTATAGTATACCTTAAAAGTATATATATATATATATATATATATATATATATATATATATATATATATATAAACTTAAAACCATATATATATATATATATATATATATATATATATATATATATATATATATATATATATATCAAAGTGTAGGAAAACGAACAGTAACATTACAGCGTTTAGAACATTAATTTAAAACAGTGCTCAATACACAAAGTAGACCCGTAAATATGTATTTTCCTTATGCAGTGTTTCATTAGAACATGCACATATCCACTACAAAATTGTACATTTTTCTTTCAACGTCAAAAAAAGGAAAACCTTTTTTTAAACATCTCATCAGG